GTCTGACTGGCAGAGTGGTTGGCTCAATGATGAGATGATTAGATGGATAAATGAATGGATCCATTGTGATCAATATCAAACACTGTTACGTGGCAGAGCCAGGGCTCAAATCCAGGTCTGTCCCACCTTTGTTCAGTTTTTCCGCTATGGTGTGGTTTGAACATTAGCACTATAGGAATCCAGAAGGAACACTTTTGGGAGAAGATGAAGTTTGGTTGTTTCTATAAAACTATGTTTCCCCATTATTTATTTTAATAAAGAAAAAAATCAAAAGACAGCTCAGAAGAAGACATCATGACAAAATGGTCAGAGGCTTGTCCCCAGCCATGTTAGAGGATGTGGTTCTAAGTTCCATGGGGTTTGTGTTCTCTGCACTCTGTCTTTCTTCCTCTCTTCCCACCTCCTCTTCCCTCTATCCATCCCTTTGTCTTCACCACTTGCCAGTATACCAAGATTAAGGGTAGGTATGCAACCCACCTGGTCAGGCAAGTGATAACCCTCTCTCACTTTCTCTCTATCTGTCTCTCTCTGCTTAGGAGACACAGGAGTCTAATCCTCAAACTGTCATCATTCTTTTTTTTTTAAGACAGGATCTCACTCTGTTGTTCAGGCTGGAGTGCTACAGTGGCACAATCATAGCTCACTGTAGCCTTGAACTGCTGTGCTCAAGAAATCCTCCTGTCTCAGCCTCCCATTTAGCTAGGACTACAGGCATGCCCCACCATGCCCAGATACTTTTTTTAATTTTTTGTAGAGGTGGGCTCTTGCTATATTGCTCAGGCTGGTTCCGAACTCCTGGCCTCAAGCAATTCTTCCAAATATTCTATTTGGCAATCACAGTTTTGCAGTATCTGATGGAGACTAATTATTTTCTGCCCATTCTTGTATCTATTTTCATTGAAGACTTTATAAAGAAGACTTGGTAGAGGGACAAAAAGTATTTATGTGTAAGGAGTCATCCTAGTAGACAAAACTGAACATGGGCTTTGGAATCAGAAAGGTCTAGGTTTTGTCTCTGGTTTTGCTCCCCACTAACTTTGTGGTCCTGGGCAATCAATATAAACTATAATGGTCTCCTTCATTTTACCTGTGTTTACTGTGTTTCATAAGCGATTTATGCAAAAGCCTTAGTTTCAGCCAGACTCTTGAAATTGTTTTTCTCCTCCAATAAATATCAGCTAATTGGTAAAGAACCCATACGAACAAACAAGAAACTGAATCAAATGAATAGTCATCAGGATCAGCACGTAGTTCATTAATTTGCTGCTGTTGAATGGAGTCCAGCGTTATAGAAAGTCTTCGTGTGGTGCACAGCTTCTCTCTCTCAAGTTTAGATCTTTCTGAAATGCTTCATGGACTGAAAAGTCTCTAACTGGGAGAACAGGGAGGGAAGCCGTGCTAGGCGGTGGTGGGGAAAAGACTCCGTATGGCTGGAGTGGGATGACAGGAACCATGAGGACTGCCCTTAAATCACAGCTTCCTTTGTCCTTTTATCAAAATGACTCTCCTCTACACTTCACAGAATGAGCAGAACCACCCAGACCTCCTTGGCTGGCCTTTTCTGGGCTGATCAGTCTAGAAAATTGGGCTCAGACTTCTGAATTTCCCAGACCAGTAAACTTTTAAAAATATATACTGTGGAGCCCAACATAGGAATAGCAACTTTTTATTTTGCCTAGTAAGGATGCTTTAGAAAACCATCTAACATTTCTAAAATCTCCTAAAAGAAGGGGTATCCCCAAAAGAAGGAAAAGAATAACCTCAAAATAAAGAATAGCTTTTTAAATTGTAGTCATACAGCCATATAAAAAACTCAACGACACTTTCCTTATATTCTCATTTCTCTCTGAACCATGTGAACTTTGTCATCTACTGGTACAGTATTGACATTTGGAAATAGCATGTCCAGACCCTCAGCTCAATATTTCTCCCAGATGTTATTAAAATACTTTTAAATGTGACTCCATGAGGCTTACCAGTTCTTTTTCAAAAGGAAAATAAGCTAGCAAATTGTGAAGGGAAAGGAAAATTTGACATTTAGCTGCTCAACGTGTGGCTCCATGCTAAGCATTGTTGCATACATCTTACCTAATTGTCACAACCTTTTAAGATAATTATTAGTGTCCTCACCTTACATATGAGAAAATTTAGGTATGAATGTGCTAACTGGACCTGCCACAGACTCCAGGAGTGGCAGAAACATAAGTTCAAAGCAGATGGATGCTTTCCATCCCATGGTGCTGCAAGCTCAGGAGCAGAACTCAGAGGAGGGCAAAGGTTGCTCACCCCCCGCCCCAGGCTGTACATCCCCTTGTAACCAGAGTGGTGTCCTCACTCACCACCTCTGGGAAGGCCAAATAAGACCACCCATCTCCCTCTCTCTCAGTTGGCACCTCTAGCAGTTAGCCTCGCAGGCACTAGGAGGTTTCTGGGTTGCCACGCTGCTGTGCACTGTGTCTATGCTGCAAGTTTGTCTAGTATTTTAATTAGAGGCACTTAATTGCAGGTCTATGCTTTGTTTTGCAGGTGTGACACTGCTCAGGGATGAAAGACCCAAAGTGATCACGGAAGATGACGAAAAGGATGGTGACAAGATAGCTATTTAGAGATAGTTCCCTTGAGACCCCTTGTAAATAGGTTAGATCAGTTCCCTACGGTGACCTAGAGAAAAAAATAGACTTGTTTCTGTTCTCATTTTTGTCATAGTCTGACTTTAAGATCCAGACACTTTTCTCCCCCAAAGACATACGACATCAAATTGCTGGTAACTTCTTTGTCTCTCTCTTCTTCTCCGAGTCTGCTTTCTATTCCCATGTTTTGAATTTTCATTTTCCAATGCAATGGAAAAGAAAAAGATTATCTTAAATCAGGGGGTAACAGGGAAAGCTGTGGTGTTCAGTTTCTTTATTTTCTGGTTCAATTCATGGAGCAAAGAACACGGATAACATGGAGACGTTTACTTCTTGGTTTACGCTGCTGGGCAGGGTCTGACTTAGTTTCATCCAAACACTAGTCCAAGTGGGGGCTCCCTGCTATCAGTTAGAGAGGCAGGAATGTTTGGGTTCTAACTTACTGCCTGCTTTGGAAAACATGGTCTTTTATTTCTACTGTCCCATCTTAAGAATTCAACTGTCTCTGATGACATCTCTAAGATCCTTGTAACAGACACTCTCAAAGGTGAATTTATGAGCTGGGGGAGTCAGCCCAGCTCACCATGCCTTGGCTGAAAATACCAGAGACAGAGAGTGCCAGTCTGTCTGGGAAGCTTAGCAATATGTCCTCATAATTAGTTTTTGCTTTTAAAAACAGCAGTTCTTAACAATGCTGTGCTGACGTTTGTGAGTTGGGTCAAAAGTAAGCCATTACTGATGATAGGCAAAATATCAATGTTTGAGATGAATTTACTTTTTTAAAAATTAAGGTCAATTGAAGACCATTCTGATATTTTTAGACTTATTTAGACTGCAATATGCTTTCTTGGATGGGAGGGAAGAGTGTGCTTTGTTTGCTAGTGAGTAGGGGTCTGTATATAGCCCCTGCCCCAGCCCACAATCTGTGGGCGCCCATGGGAAGGCTTTGTACATGGGTCTCACGCACAGGCGATAGACAGGGAGAAAGGTGAGAACTAGTATTAACAGGAGGAAAAGTAGAAATTCAAATCATCATACCAAAGAGGGATAATTTGGAAGGTCTATATATACTCTGGCTCCAACAGCTTATTAATCCCTCCTGCCTTTCTGTCCTCCTCACAAAGATGAAAAAGATGTAGAACCCTGCTGGAAATAAAGATATTCTACCCACTTCTCAATGCCCTGCTGCATCTGTCCTAAAAAGACCCTAATTCCTTACTTACAATTACAAAGAGACTCACTGGTTTTAGTTTGGTTGTATTTTGCTTTTGTTTTTGTTTGTCCTGCAGAAGTTTAATAATGTTTGGATTAGATATTAATATTTAACCAGTCCAAACAAGAGAATGTACATAAAATTCCAGATTTCCACATTCTCTTGGAGAAACATCTCAAGACCTGGCAACTTTGGGGCCTGAATAGAAACATGGCAACTGTCAGTGTGAACTGAGTACTTGGTGGCCATTTTAGAAGAAGGTTGCGTTCCCAGGTTGGCTGCATGGTATGTCATCCATTGACTTGAGTTGGAGCCCCCCAGTGAAGACCCATGTTGTGTTCCTGGTGATCTTTGGCCTTTCTGATGCCAGTGCTCCACTCCCACTTCTGAAGGCTCCAATCATAGCTTTGTGGGGAGGAGAGTAAACTTGTGGCCAGACTGCTAGTTGAGGCATAAGTGGTAAAACAGGCCTCCATGAAGTCTTTCAAAAGCCAAAAGCAATTACAAGTATGTGGATGGTTGGATAATATCACCACCAATAGCAATCTTTACCAAGGGATCCTCACTCAGAAAACACAGATGCACTCTCATCCTAGCAGATTCGCTATATAAACATGATGTACATTTGCAGCCATGGCCGTAGACTGCTCAATAAACTCCAAGGCTACTCAGAAAAGCCCTCATCTTTTCCGATTTCCTGGGGTGGGATGAAAAGTAGACTGGCTGTTGTAGAAACAAAGGCCTTGGGTTCTTAGCCTCTAGTGTGTGACACTGAGCAAGTCTCTGGAACTCTCTGAGTCTGGTTCTTTATCTTGAAAATGAGAATGATAATTCTTACTTTGCCTTTTTTGTAATTTGAGAATTAAGTGAGGTAATGTATGGCAAAAGTCTTTGTAAGCTAAAATAAGGCTTTGTAAGCCCCATCCAACTGTAACTTAGGATAATTTTAAGACACCGTCAGAGCATGGACCGTACCTCTTCCATTGCCATATCCCCATTGCCTGGGTGCTGAATGGGTAGCAGTTATGTGAAATCAACTCACAGCTTCTGAAGAAATACTTTAGGTAAGGAGATCCCATCGCCTGTACAGCCTCAACCGAAGAAAGGAAGAAAGACTAGCCCTCTCTTCCTGGGAAGATGGGCTTTGTAATAGAGAACTGGTCCCAAAAGAGCACACACAGAATGGTGAGCGGCAAAACCAGCCAAAACATAACAAACCCTGGCTGTCACTGGGACGATTTGGGTTGAAGCCAAACCTTCCCCACGTCCCTTCCACGTGTGGCCCTTTTCTGGCCAAGTAAAGTAGAGAAGAATTACACTCCAATAAAACAGTTCTCAGCATATTGTAAACAACTTTCCTCCAAACAAATAATAGTCATATTAAGAAATTAAATGCATTGTGTGGTCGTCCATTTAAAGAGAAGGCTCAAATTAAAGGCATCCAAGGAACGGGCAAAGCAGATGGCCATTGTTCATTCTGAAAGCATCTACCTGGAACCCAGGCTACCTGAGAGGAGGAGGCACTAGACCTGAGAGATTGAGCTGTTTTACAAAAGCTTCACACAGGGCCTTTCTTTAAATCCAGACACCCTGTAAAAGCTGTTGGCTGAGATCACACAGCCAACTTCTAATGCCTAATTAGCACTTGGAGAGGCAGAGGCTGGTGCTGAAGGGTGGAGGTAGTACCATAAAGGACTCAAGCAGTGTTTCCTTTTAAATGCAATCAAGTGAATTTTCTCTGTGTTGTCCAGGTTGTTTTCTTTAAAACAAGAAAAGACTGACATAGCATGCAGTTGTGAAAATAAGTTAATAAAGCAATTATTTTTGCTCGCTGAGAATAAGAGGCCAGTTACATGATGGATTTTGTAGAATCTCTGTCATCCTGTGTAACTGAGCCTCCCTCACCACTTGTAATTTGTAAGTGTGAAAATCTTACTCCGAAAACTCCCCAGCAGTGAATGAATGCCTAGGAAGTGGATGAACCAAGAATATCTTCCTCCAGTTCTCCTGGACATGGGATTGCCTTTGAACTGGCTTGAATTTATAATCTCTGTAGAGTTTGAACACACTTATAATGATCATCATTCTTGACCCCAAAATCAGGGCAGAAGATTCTCCACAGGTAAGTGTACTTATGGGGAAAACAATGCACTATTTGAAATCAGCTTTGCCCTGGAAAATTCAAGATGTCAGCTTACCTTTCTCAAGAAGAAAACAAATGGGTATTTCCTAACCTATAGTAGCAGGTGCTTCCAGCTAGATGAGATTCCTCAAAGGAAATTGCAGGAGACTTCCTCAGAGCGAACAACAGGGAATGGAAGACAATTTTGCTCATCTTAGCCAAGGTGGCCCTCGCATCTGATGCCAATTATGTACTTTGAGGGTTGAACAAAAACAGTAAACTGCAGATCCTTAGGTCTTCATGTGTTAGAGCCAGAGAAAAACAATCCACACATTAATATTCATCAATCAAATCATATATAAATTGTATTTAAAATGTATTACTTAATCACTACTTAAATAATACCCTTCAGGAAAAAACCAGTGTCTCTGAGTCCTTGTGTCTATTCAGTCTTTTTCCTATTTTATCTCATTTGATCCTACAGGCAAGCATAAGAAGGCTCAGTACCCAGGGAAACCGAGTTGGAGAGGAAGCTAGGACAGGAACTCAGGTCTCTGACCCCCCAGCCCAATGCTGTTTATATAGAACTCTTCTGAAAATCCTCCATAAAGCAGGGTGCAGAATACAGATGAGTTAGAGAGGGAGGCCTTTCAGTGACCCAGAAAGGAATCAATTATATATGTGATTTCTGACAGTTTTCTCCACCCTCTCTGTCTCAAATTTTGAATAAGTATATTAATAAACATGTTGAACTAACACCCGAAAGGTAACCATTGCTAGGAGACCCTATGTTTTAGGGAGGTGGTGAGGTTATATTTGTCTTCTCACTCCACTTCAGACTCCATGGTTATCCATTCCCTACTTTGCAGCTGGAGTGACCCTTTCAAACACAAATCTGACCGTGTGGGTCCCCTCCTTGACATTTTCTCCTTGCTCAGAATAAAGGCCGAGAGATCTCACCTGGGCCCTGGGCCCTGCCCCCCACACCCTCCTCTGGGCTCCAGTGACATTGGCCTCTGCCACTAGCTGGGCCCTCTTCTCTCTCTCCCCCCACCCATTCCCCACCCCTGGCCCTTGACACCCAGTGAAGTCGGGTTTGTCCTTCAGAGCTCAGCCGATGGCCACCACCTCGGGGAAAGCTCGTCTCAGCTTTTTGACCAGGTTTCTGTATTATTTGCATGTCCCTGAGCCACCATGTTCTTTTTTTTTTTTTTTTTTTTAAGTAGAGACAGGGTCTCACTCTTGCTCAGGCTGGTCTTGAACACCTGACCTTGAGCGATCCTCCTGCCTTGGCCTCCCAGAGTGCTAGGATTACAGGTGTGAGCCGCCTCGCCCCACCAACCATGTTCTTTTTCTCCACAGTCCTCACCTCTTTTTGTGATCATCCGTTTGTATAACTGGTTAACATCTATTTCCTCACTGTCGTGTAAGCACCATGAACACAGGGACTGCATCTGGGTTTGCACCACTTGCTCCCTATACCTGGGAATAGGGTTTACCATGATGTACATGTTCAAGAAATATCAGTGAGTAAGAGAATGAATGAATGAATGAATGAATGAATGAACAAAGTTTGTAAGAAGCCAAGTTTGATAGCCTAAGGTTGCCCTCCCATCTGCCTGATTGCAGGAACACAAGGTTCCTAACTCCTGCAAGAGACTAGATAGTCACTACAGAGCTGAACGCAAACGTCTGCCACAGCACACTGCTCTGCTTCCCGGACCCCATG